TTGTGTCTCACTTCTTAATACAATTGCGTTAATTCTGGGAATCCTAGTTCATAATACAATTCAAATAATTCAAAACATTATATGCTGCTACTTTATTACCCTTAGTTTGTCTGATAACCATCCTGATTACTTCGATCGTTGGTGGAGTGACAGTTAAGGGATAGTCTGTAGATTTCGCTTTGATGTCCGTTGGAGTTATGGTGGTATTGGTCTCTAACCACACGTTCTTCTAGGCCGAGCATATAACCACTGAGAAGATTTACATGCAACATGTAACACTAAAAAGGCTGAACAACGTTATGCTAAACTCCATACTTGCAACCAACTAATTTTAACCATCAGTCGGTAAGTGTGTAACCTTTTGCATGCGTTTGTGTGTGAATATTGTGCTGCCTATAAACATATTGTTCAGGGAAGATGAATTGACAAACCTTTCACCATTTTCATTTCTTTCAGTCCATGCCACCCCATGATATCTTCACACTTGGTGTCATCTATTCCGACTTTAGTGTCTAGATTTCCCATCAGGTCAGGTCCTTTCCTAAGCACTTCGCTATGACTGATTGCAGCCTCCCATGAAACTGGTTTTTATCGTCGTCGTTGTAATTATCGGTGGGTGCATAACACTTAATAACATTTATTGCAATCCCCACTTTCGTTTCGAAGGATGCGTTGCTGTTCCTGGATCCATGAGTTTCCCATCTTATAAGTGCTTTACGTGCTTTTTGGACAGCTTCAAAGCTTCTCCCTGAGCTTGTGGATCATTTTCTCCGTCGTGACCAGAGTACAACAGCATTTCTTGTGACGATCGAACTGCCAATACTCGGTTTGAACGCAGAACAAACGAAATAAAACTTATTCGGATAAACGAAACTACGTTCTTCTGTATACCGAACGAAGCGTTTTTGAGTTACTCTTATTAAATTACATCAAAACACAAACTTTGTGATCGATTTAAATGGTTCTAAATTAGGAAATAGAACAAATTATATCAAGAATACAAAATACCTCAAACGGTACAGTTTGGGCTATACAGTCAAAAGTTCCTCTAACACAAATTAGCGTGCTAAACAACAAAAGTAACAGTTAATGCAAAGGAGTTCAGTAACCGAGAACCAATAATAATATTCCCAACGAGATGGGGTCAGATATCTATCTGCGGGGATTTCAGCAATCCTCCCAAGCAGACAGTCGATAGTAAACAGTCACACGCTGAACCACGCTGTGACTTCGAGCTTAGTCAAACACGGCCTTATCGTGAATAGTCCGACGACATGCAATAGAAAATTAGGTAACAAAGTGTAAGTCTTTAATCAAAACCACATAGTAAAAGCTCAGACGAGGAGGATTGAAGAACTTAAAGTGTGGTCAAAAGAGATCTGAATAAAGGTTAAAATACACGACGCGGAAAGGGAACAAATAAATGACAGAATAGTCCAACATACATGCCAAGAAGTGATTTCCAGCGATTTCTTTCCGTTGCATTTCTCCCGAATTTATCCCTTTCTGTCTAACTTGGATCTAATGGTTATCACTAATTCCGATAACCGGCAAGTCGTATATCCTCATTTACGTAACTATTTGACTGGCCCTCTCAGTCCTTCACATTTTCTAGACATTTGAAGTACCTATTTTAATTGTTGCTTTGGTTGTTAGGAGGGACATCGGCCTCATGACTTCCGATTAATCTCAGCTTTTTAGACGAGGCGTCATCATTCTTATTATTGAACTCCCAGGATGTAGTCTAAGTGGTTCAAATTGTTTTTTTCTGGTTAGCACTTTTAAGCAAGCTCTTACCTGTATATATATATATATATGAACATATACTTCGTTACATAACATTCATAATGGAAGCTTTTTTGTATAGTTTTTCGTTTTCATATGTTAAATGTACCGTTTTTTGCACGACTTTCTTGTTTAAGTAAGAATAAGTGTATTTTGACATGCACTTATATTCTTATTTCTTTCTTTTTCAAGGCAACTAGAAAATTCGCAAAACCGAAGACAACTGTGAATAACCGAATCTTAAATCGTACATTTATTACAATAACTAGTTTTATGGGCTCTACGACTCATTAGAGTGGGAAAAAACAGTCAGACAATGATGAATGTAGCAAGCTAAAGCAAAAGTGTTTATCAACGACAAGGTCATTGGGTATGAAATTTTGGCTGGTTACGTAATAGGGTCATCCCTATCCTACTATGGCGGAAGCGAGATGTGGTGGTACATTAATCCACCGAATAAGTAGTTCCATAAGTCTTCGGTATTGATGCTGACCTCACCAGTTTCAATGGACACACTCTAGCTAAGAGCACTCAGGAAAGCATCCTCTCCAGGTAATTTTTCGGTATGCCGTGTTACGTATCTCTAACATTATTAAACTAATTTAGATCACACACTACTCGACATACCAACAGTCTTTCAAATATATCTTCGAACACTTTCATTCCTGACTTCCGGCTACACCAGTCCTGAGATCGTTTGTTCATAAAGGTGTTACAGATAGCAGCGTTTTCAGCCACTGAATATCCATGTCATATCAACTTTTATTATATCTGTTCTCAAGATTAACCGTGTGCTTCCTCCATAACTTTCGCTTTCTTTTTTCTTGTCTATAGTTTGGTCTTTTAGTGAGACCCTGTTGTACCCAACGTATCTTGGACATTATTTTTAACCATCATTCAACTATCTTCATTTGTTCAATGAATTAGGTAGAAATAACTTCTGACTGGAATAAAAGTAGCGTTCACTTGTACTTAGAGAGATAAAACGATTGAATCTTACAATAACTGCTTGATCTCTTTGCTTTGTACAGTTTTGCAACTAATGGAAGTAGTTGTAGATGAATACCTGCGAGGTCATGGACATAAGGACTTTAATTGAGACCGATATAGGTTTTCATAGGTAGTTGACATGAACATCAACTTACTGACCTTTTGCAGTAGCCACAACATAACACGAGAATAGCAACCCTCTTGTTTTTTCTCGATTGAAGTCTCGGTTTATATTTTCACCCGAACTTGATGAAAGGAGACTAGGTGGTACTCCTTGATCACTGCAGTCACCAATAACTAATGTTTTAACATTCCACATTTTTAAGTAGCCGAGACAAGAATTTGGCCCCTCTCTGATCGGACTGGAGAACTTTGAGTGAGTCAATTTTACTAAGCGAAAACAGGGTAAGTAAAAAATGCGGTGTTTTAAGTGTATTAACGATGTGTAGGTTCTATACTTTTAAAGTCTATATAAGTGACCTAACGAAATGTGTGGTTTAGTATTTTACGCCTATCATCAGGTTCATGAAAAGATATTTGATAATATATGTCGCGCAAATCACGAAAGGATGCGATAAAATAATTACATATATATATATATATTTGTACAGTATATATATACGGTATAATGTTATGATATTATACTGTATAACAGCCCCTGGTAGTTTATTGTTCATGATCAGGTTACAACCACTTTGGAATATTTCAAACGTTTCGATCATTTTACGAGCCCTTCTTATCTCTTTCACCCCATTTTAAGATGTAGGAAACTCTTTTAGTTTTCCTTATTTATTCACGTACATTGTTGATTTTTGCAATTCGTATCAATCATTTTAACTTTAAGGAATGGCACGTTTGAGGATTGGTCATGTTGAACGCAACTCAACAGAAAATTATGAAGGGTCGTTAAGCAACGCAATCTCCCAATCTTGGGGAAAACTTAATCCATTTTGTGGAAATTTTGGGTAAGCCGCTACCATTTCTTCAGAAATGGTAGTCAGGGTAATAATTTCCAGTAAGGCTTAGTGCACCTGTTTGGCAGTACTTTTTTAGATGTTGGTGAATTTTAAGCAATTTATTTATCAATCGCCATGTTTTATGGGAACAAAACCTACTTATTTGATGGTTTTGCTTGAGTAATCACTGCAAACGTACACTCCTTCCGATACAGAAACTGGCCTGAAAATATTTAATCTTAAGGTGGCATCTTAAAGAACACATCCGGTTTTTAAGCCAAACTAGGCTGTTTTTCATGAGACTTGAGTATGAATTGCTACTTTTAACACAAAACTGCATGTGAAGATACGTCTGTAATTTAAACAAACAATTAATGACGAGTGAGTTATTGACAAAAGTGATTTCACTTTTGTTTCCACTATATTTTTTTGTACCAGCGTATATATTTTTTCTCCCCCAAATCACCAAGGTTCATGTTTATCAAGTGATGCTAGTCACTTTTTTCTGCAAATACATTATCTACTTTTTAGGCCTTACAATGCTACCTAGTTTCACGCATAAAGCTGCCCAAAAAATGTTTGCGCATGACAAATCATTTTACATTTTTTATTGTATCTGTACTAGTTCATAATTTTGTAGCGATAAACAAATCCCCAAAATAAGTAACTCTGTAAGTCTCCAACATATGATACTGATTGTATTAGTTTTACTAGACTCACTTAGCTGAATGAGCTCGGTCACGCATCCGCACCAGGTCACGAGTGAGCACGCCATGCTACGCATCCTTTCCAACCAATAGCCAGCTTAGACCGACCGTTTCTCAATATAGCGACAACCTTCCAAATATGTCTTTGAACTCCTTAATTTTAGGATTTTGATTCGACTGGGTATAATGTTTTGAATTATTTGAATTGTAGTATGAACTAAGAGTCCCAGAATTAACGCAATTGAATTAAGAAGTAAGACACAAGCACAAGCGAATGTATTGTATTTAGAATTCAAAATCGAGCATTCAACAAGTACAAGGGTATTATTAGTTCGTTCAAACACCACATCCGCCACAACTTAAGTAGAAGTATAAGTGTTTGTAATCGGTTGTACGTCTTCTTGTTAAGTTCATCCTGAGGCTGTCCGACATTGCATTGGATAAAAACTTTGTAGTATCTAGAATATGCTCATTAGTATTGGAATTAACAAACGAAATCGGAACAGACTCACCTGGATTTGTATACAATCAGCATGTCGGTTTTGTACTGAAATCATTGATATCTAGAATTTGAACCATAGATTTTTCAACACTATCCTCCCCCACGAAATAATGTTGGATCTTTATATCCCCAAGTTATGAATAATGTGGCTTCATTTAAAACATATTTCTCACAATGTTCAGAGTAAACATTAGAACTGTTTTCGTGATAAGGGTAAACAGCAGTTGATATGAAATCATCCGAAATGTAATCAAACTTGAGGTCACTTAATACTCGTGCTTCGCATTGAGCAGGTTTTTCACAAGGATCAAATGCATTATGAGGAGAGGTAATATATGATATGACATCAGGATTTGATTCTTCTGAAATATTCTCATGAAATTCATTAGGACTGTCATTGCTGAGCGTGGGATCGTTAGAAAAATCAGCATCTATCCAAACCACATCAGGTTTCCGATCATGATTAGGTTCATTTAACATATTTTCCTCAATATTGCAATTAATTTCGTTAGAAATATGTGAATCATTAGGAAAAGTCATACCTGGTACAATAGCATGAGAATTCTGATAAATCGGTTGATAAGGAACTGTTGTCTCACAAGAATTCTGGATTTCATCTAACTCTGAACTGCCATATGACTCTGCACTGTCTTTTGAAATCGTTGATAAAGATAAATGATCATTAGAAACATCCGAATTATTGAAATTTAAATTACAAGATTTAGTACAGCTTGAAGCAAAATGGACAGTAGCTTTGCATACTGACTGAATGTGTCCTACCTTACCACATTTAAAACATTTAGCATTACGAAATACACATGAATTGCGAGCATGAAACTTTCCACATGATAAACATTTACCAAACTTCATCTCACCTTTGTGATTTGCTTTGTAATTCCTCGTTGAAACACCTTTCATATTAACACGAGAATAGGAATCACTGTTAAGTGAACGCAAGTTTGATTGACCCTGAGATTGTAGTTTATCATGACGACTAAGCAAAGTATTAGAAATCTTCATCGACTGGATATCAAGTTCATTGACTGCTTCGTAGTTAATACACGCAGTTCTAGCATCTTGAAAGGAACAGTTTAGCATTTTTAACAGCTCTCTTTTCAAACTCGGTGTGTTAATTCCTGCAATTAATCAATCTCTCAGTTGCACATGAAGTTGATCACCGAAATTACACTTGGCAGCTTGTTTCTGTAATTCAAGAATGAATTCCCGAGCCTTTTGGTCATTTTGACGAACCATCTTATGAAACTTCGTCCTTTCACGGCATTCAAAACTGGTGCATTTTACATGACTTAACAATAGCTCTTTAAGAGTTGCATAAGGGAGTGAGATAGGTTTTTCTGGATATGCCAAAGTTTTTAATAAGCTGTACGCTTCTCTCCCAATGAATGTGAGGAAGTGTGCCACAATATTAAAATCCTCATCATCTTCCTTGGTCATAGCCCAGATTTCGAACCTTTCAAAGTAATCTTCAAAAGCTTCCGAAGTTGAATGAATATCTAACTTTTCCATTACAGGCTCTATCGTGATGCTAATATAATGTTTTGAATTATTTGAATTGTAGTATGAACTAAGAGTCCCAGAATTAACGCAATTGAATTAAGAAGTAAGACACAAGCACAAGCGAATGTATTGTATTTAGAATTCGAAATCGAGCATTCAACAAGTACAAGGGTATTATTAGTTCGTTCAAACACCACTCTGGGTTAGTATATTTTGATTGTAATTGTGTGACTGGTAAAACCGTTGTCACACTCCGACTACTTGTGGCATCTTTTACTTAATAGATTGGTCTCTGTCTTTTATTGACCGAACTCACTCTTTTACCACGGTAATTGAATAAATCGAATCCTAGTGGCTTTAAAAACTTTCACTCAACAACATTATTCACCTCTTGATCTTATTTTACAGTTGATAAGTAATATCATCCCAACTGATTAATTTTAGTCTCTGATGGCTCATACCGATAGTCTTGATACTTATGATTGATAACTCTTTGAATAAAAACAGGAATGTAAAAAATTGCTTGAAACGTTTTTGACCTGCGTAATTATATTCAAACGTCTTGTTAATCTGTTCGATTGTCTCTCCAACCACCTTCTAAAAAGTTAGTTACGAAACTATCAAGATAACTTTGGGTTTTATCTCTGTGCTTAAAACATCAATTCCCTAAATCTGAATAAACAACAAAATACAAGCAATAACGTTACACTAGTGTTTGGCATGATTTGAAAGGATAGGTTTCAGTTGTCGATATACGGAAAGTCAATTTAACACACTCAACGGGTGTCATGCCATTCGGGATTCAACACATCCTTCTAAACTTTTAGTCCCATTTTACAATAAAATTTACCAATAGGCTCACATTTTAATCCTGGGTATTTAACGTCTCATGACGGTCAAAACAAGATTTTACATTGTTTTATAACGTTTTTGGTTAAATGTTAGTCCAAAAATTGGTATTGGGGTAGTTAAATGCTTTAAACACCTGACTTAACTGAAGATTTCATTGGTTTTGGTTATTTATCTCAGCCAACGTGCGTCACACGTAGCACAGTGATATCTCGGCCTTGGAACAAGGGGTCGTTAACCTGGCATTACTTCACGGTTACGAAATACAGCTTATAAAGGTAAGTTGGTGCTTAGACTGCAAGTATTCAACTATAGATTTCGGAGTGCGTCGCTCACATATGAAGCAACTACATAGTGGATAATGATGAGCTTTTGATGAAGTGGTAGATAAAAGAAACAATTCGATTTATGAGGCTGTAACCGACAACATATATAGCACATGCTTTGTCACCGCTTATTTGGGCGTGCACTGCTGGATTACATTAAAGTATATTGCGATAAAGCTGAAGTGAGTCAGATAATGACACGACATGAATCCATAAAATTATTAACTGTTGGTCTTTCATACCGGCGGGTGTAGACTTCCTTATTTGAAAGTCCTTTGAGCCAGTAGTTTGGGGCGTTGATGATATCTGCAGTAGCACTCATTTTTTCTCTTCCTTTAAATCCTGATTCAACCATTATGCCTACCTGCTATCACTATATTTCTTATGTAGTCCGAATCGATCCCGTTTCCATCTTCTTGACTGACTTTCCTGCTGAGTTGAGTCGAGTTGTAACTACTTGAACTGATACACATTTACGCCAGGTTTTATAATGGTTGCAGCCGAGTAGCTTAATTTTATATAGCTCACACTTCTTTTAATCTAGAAAACCTCGTGAAATTTCTTCTTAGTTTTTCGCATCCAAGTTGATATATTCCACTAGAAATGAAATGGAACCAATGAAAAAAATTCTACACTCTTTTCATATTTTAACGTCTTTTTAATAATCGAATATGTCTGAAACCATCTGCTTGTGATTTTTCTTCGTTTATTTAGGAAACTAATGATACTCAATTAAGAACAATATACTCAAGATATAATTCTAATATCCGACCTACAGAACTATCATTAAGTTGTTCCTACGTTACAAGGACGGAAGTAACAACCAAACACTACCTTGTTTCAAGATACAAATGAATTGAAAAAGTGATTTTAGTTCATGCTCAAGAGTTTTTTTGTTTAATATAAAGACAATGAATTTCATTATTAAGGGTTACTTTGATGCAACAGACCAATAAACATGTTATTCAAAAGCTCAAAAGCCAGATCAAGAGACGATAATCAGCGAAATATTACTTCTGACAGAAGTATTGGAGATGAAGAACTAAGCTATTTGAAGGAACAATATTGGAGGAGGAAATATGGTACAAGGCATAGTTTTCGAATGAAATTATTTCTGTTTCTTTTGACCAGTTTCTCAGTTTTATTTATAATGTCTGTTATTGCAGTTACTATTTTTTTTATTTTGCTCTACAAAAAACTTTATGAAATTTGAAAATTAACAGAAAGTGTTTTATTTATTATTCAGAATGCTTGATATATGATATTTATGTGTATTTACGTCCTCATAAATACTTTTATGATTAATAGTGTAGTCTTGAAGTTGTCGAGGGTATTTCAATCACTATATTTATTACATGTAAAATATACACGCTTTATTTTTGATTGACCATGTTAACGAGTTTTTTATGAAATAATTCCATGATGTATTGGTTATTTAACAGTTTTTCCGTAAATTATCTTGGTTAGCAACTTAGAGGCATCACAATCACATTAGTAATAACGAGGTTTTATGAACTGTAAAAGGACGTCTTATTTTTACATAAATGATAAAATTTCATCCCGTTAGGCCTGCTAATCTTTTAAAAGAAAAACTCTACATGAAATGGAGTTTCCTAGTTACTTTATCCCTTAAATAACAAACTATTGGAAGTAAATAAGCAATAATAACATTAACTTTGGATATGGTATCCTCTTTTTTGTCGGGGAGAAATATGTTTGGTTCTGGTTTCAGTGTATCAAACAACAATTATCATAAAGAAATCGAATCTAGCTGATAAATTCTGAATAGAGTAAAAACAAACTATGAATTCTGTCACTAAAAACTGACATTTTGAATTACTAATGGATTTATTCAATAGTATATGTTTTATAGCTGATTATTCATACTACTTGGTATATTACAAAGGCATTCTTTAAAATTATGATCTGAAAAGAAAATGTCAATAAATAAATAATATATTTGTAATATCCCAATGACGTTTCGTGATTTATTGTAAGCCACTTCTTCAGAGAATAAAATGGAAAAATGAACAAATGAATTAAACTCATTCTTAACCATTTGCAGATTAGTTCATTTTCTCCTTGTAATTACTCAGCTTCATGTTCTTTATAATTAATTTAATGCTACTTTATCCAGTCTACATAGTACATTTGACTTGATGGTTTTTTCTTTCAACAAAATATAAATAATATTTACACAATCTACTTTGTAGTTTATTATCTCTTTTATCATGCAGATTGCAAACGAAATGAATTCCATAAATTGAATGAACAATTCAACGATAGAAATGGAACTTATTTATTTTTAACTTACACCTATTATGAAAATATAAATAAAAATTATATATCTCAATGAGTAGTAAGAAATTAGATTTTCATGACGTTTCGTAACTCAATATAAGCCAATTCTCTTCAGAGTATAAATAACTAAATCAAAATGAATACAAATTAAAGTGAAATGAGAAACTTCATCCCCTTTTTTTTAAAAAAACAAACAAACTATTTATTCACATTAATCAGTGAATAGTAACTAAAGAAAAAAAGATTAAAATTTCACTGAAGATTACGAATTTTACAAATACTGTTATGAAAAGTAAATAAGTTAGTAATTAAGTAAGTAAGCAACAAAAAAAAACACTATCGATTTGGATTGGAAATGATTTCAAACTAGCAACTAATTGTTACTAACTGCTTTTTTTTAAAAAATATCATACTATGTATAAAAATTTTCTATGTGAATTATTGTATATTTATAGAATTTATTAATATTTTATGATTAGAATAAGCAATTTTAATATTTATAGAATTAAATGAGTAATAATACATAAATTAATTTAGTTAATAAATATTATTTCTTATTGTATAATCTAATTTCTGTTATGTGTATTATACCAAAAATATAATTTTTTTTATTGTTTTTTTATGTATTATCTATAATATTATTATAGATTAAGTTATTATTATTATCAGAAAGGGTTTTGTGGAGATTTTAGTAATTTCAATAGTTGGAATCGTGAGTCGATTAGAGCTAGACCATCATGGAAAACCTGCATGCACTGGATGACTGTTTCGTCCTAGTATGGGACTCTTCAGCAGTGTGCATCCAGGTTTTCCATGGTGGTCTAGCTCCAATCGACTCACGATTCCAACTATTGAAATGACTAAAATCTCCACAAAACCCTTTCTGATAATAATCATCTTCTCACTAGTGACTCCCTATTTGAACTATTGAAATTATTGTTGTGTTATTAAAATAGACTGTAACTGGTTTCCTTATTTGATATTCTTGATTTTTGTTTGTTTGTTCTATTTTGTTTTGTTTATTTTTTATGTGGATTGAATTATGATTCTTCAAACAAATCATTTTAATGAATTCAAAATATAAACAAACTTTTTTGTTATATGGTATAATGTACTTGAATAAGCTTAAAAATTCAGATTTTTTTTTCGCTCAAGATTTAGTTGACTGTTCATCATCTCTTTTTTGTTAAAATGAAATGGTAATTCTATTTACAAAAAGTAATGAGACTATAATTTATGGACGTCCTTTGAGCGACGCTAGATTGACCTTGGGAGTGTCCACCTAATAACGAGGATCAA